TCCACACACCCACCACTCTCTGTGTGAAGAACCTACCTCTGACATCTCCCCTGTACCTTCCTCCAATCACCTTAAAATTATGCCCCCTCATAATAGTCATTTCCGCCCTGGGAAAAAGTCTCTGACTATCCACTCCATCTATGCCTCTCATCATCTTGTACACCTCTATCAAATCACCTCTCATCCATCTTCGCTCCAATGAAAAAAGCCCTAGCTCCCTCAACCTTTCCTCATAAGACCTGCCCTCCAGTCCAGGCAGCATCCTGGTAAATCTCCTGTGCACCCTCTCTAAAGCTTCCACATCTTCCCTGCAATGAGGTGACCAGAACTGAACACACTATTCCAAGTGTGGTCTAACCAGAGTTTTATAGAGCTGCAGCATAAACTCACGGCTCTTAAACTCAATTCCCCTGCCAATGAAAGCCAACACACCATACGCCTTCTTTACAACCCAATCAACTTGGGTTGCAACTTTGAGGGATCTATGGACGTGGACCCCAAGATCCCTCTGTTCCTCCACACTGCTGAGAATCCTGCCATTAACCCTGTATTCTGCATTCAAATTCGACCTTCCAAAATGAATCACTTCATACTTTTCTGGGTTGAATTCCATCTGCCACTTCTTTGCCCAGCTCTGCATCCTGGCAATGTCCCGTTGCAACCTACAACAGCCCTCCACGCTGTCCACAACTCCACCAACCTCTGTGTCATCGGCAAACGTACTAACCCACCCTTCTACTTCCTCATCCAAGTCATTTATAAAGATCACAAAGAGCAGAGGACCCAGAACAGATCCCTGCAGAACACAACTGGTCACCGAGCTCCAGGCTGAAGACTTTCCATCTACTACCACCCTCTGTCTTCTATTGGGCAGCCAGTTTTGTATCCAGACAGCTAAATTTCCCTAAATCCCATGCCTTCTTACTTTCTGAATGAGCCTACCGTGTGGAACCTTAATGAATGCCTTGCTAAAATCCATATACACCACATCCACTGCTCTACCTTCATCGATGTGTTTTGTCACATCCTCAAAGAATTCAATAAGGTTTGTAGAGGCATGTCCTGCCCCTCACAAAGCCATGCTGACTATTTCTAATCAAACTATGCTTTTCCAAATAATCATAAATATTATCTCTCAGAATCCTCTCCCATAATTTGCCCACCACAGAAGTAAGACTGACTGGTCTGTAATTTCCAGGATTATCCCTATTCCCTTTCTTGAACATAGAACATAGAACATTACAGCGCAGTACAGGCCCTTCGGCCCTCGATGTTGCGCCGACCTGTGAAACCAATCTGAAGCCCATCTAACCTAAACTATTCCAGTATCATCCATATGTTTATCCAATGACCATTTAAATGCCCTTAAAGTGGGCGAGTCTACTATTGTTGCAGGCAGGACATTCCACGCCGTTACTACTTGAACAAGGAATGACATTTGCCACCCTCCAATCTTCTGGCACTACTCCAGTGGACAGTGAGGACGCAAAGGTCATTGCCAGAGGGGCAGCAATCTCTTCCCTCGCTTCCCGTAGAAGCCTTGGGTATATTCCGTCTGGCCCAGGGGACTTATCTATCCTCATGTTTTTCAAAATTTCTAGCACATCCTCCTCCCCAACAACAACCTGTTCAAGCATATCTGCCTGTTTCATGCTATCCTCACAAACATCAAGTTCCCTCTCACTGGTGAATACTGAAGCAAAGTATTCATTAAAGACTTCCCCTACCTCATCCGACTCCAGGCACATGTTCCCTCCACTGTCCCTGATCGGCCCTACCCTCACTCTGGCCATCCTCTTGTTCCTCACGTAAGTATAGAATGCCTTGGGGTTTTCCTTGATCCTATCTGCTGAAGGCGATAAGGTTTCTGAATGTAATCTGGGACTTTAGTTTTCATTGTCTCTACTAACCAAACTGATCAAGTCCAAAGGGACATAGGTGCTAGGCAGGTCTTTGGCAAGTGATGATAGAACCAACAAAGGGGAAAAACATACTTAACCTCTTCCTTCCCATTCTAATTGTCGCAGATGCATCTGTCCTTGATGGTTTGGTTCAACTGACCATTGCATTGATCTTGTGGTGATGACGTACCTTCTTTACATTGAGGATGCCCTCTATTGTGTTGTTTGGTACCTGCAACATTCTAACAGTTAACACTGGGTATCTATAAGGCAGAACGGGCCATTAGAAGTTGAATTATTCTCCAGCACAATCTGCAACCTCATGGCCCGGCATATCCCCCACACCACCATTGCCATCAAACCAGGGGAATCAGCCCTGGTTCAATGACGAATGAAGGAGGGTATGCCAACAGCAGCACCAGGCATATCTGAAAATGAGGTGCCAATCTGGTGAAGCTGCAATACAGGGCTAAATGATTTCACCACCAATACATCAGATCTAAGTTCTGCAATCTTGTCACATCCAGTCATAAATGGTGGTGGACAATTAAACAATGCATTGGAGGAGGACGAGGCTCCACAAAAATCCTCACCTTCAACAATGGGGAGCCCAGCATTTCAGTGCAAAAATAAAGCAGAGGCTTTTGCAACAGCCTTCAGCCAGAACTATCAAGTGGATGATTCATCTCAGTATCCGCTATCATTTCCAACATCACAGATACCAGTATTCGCTTCAGTCCGTTAAAGAAGCTTGAAACCATCCAGAACCAAGCAGTCTCTTGATTGGCACCACACTCACATAACACCCACTCCCTACACCATTGACACTCAGTAGCAGCAGTGTGTACCATCTACAAAGTGCAATGCGGAAATTCACCAAGGTTCTCATCCTGCTCCCTTGACCTGTCCATCCTCCCTGGACTGACCTATCCCCTCCCTAACTCCCCACCTACACTCACCTTTACTGGCTCCATCCCTGCCTCTTTGACCTGTCTGTCTCCTCTCCACCTATCTTCTCCTCTATCCATCTTCTATCCGCCTCCCCCTCTCTCCCTATTTATTTCAGAATCCCCTTTCCCCTCCCCCATTTCTGAAGAAGGGTCTAGCCCGAAACGTCAGCCTTCCTGCTCCTCTGATGCTGCTTGGCCTGCTGTGTTCATCCAGCTCTACACCTTGTTATCTCCTTAGACAGCACCTTCTAAACTCAGGATAACTACCATTTAGAACGACAAAAGCAGCAGAAACATGGGAACACCACCAGCTGCAGGTTCCCCTCCAAATCACTCACCATCCTGACTTGGAAATATATCGCTGTATCCTCAGTATCACAGGGTCCATATCCTGGAATTCCCTCCCGAATGGCATTATGGGTCTACTTAAAGCACATGGGCTGCAGCGGGTTCTAGAAGTCGGCACACTACCACCACCTTCTGAAGGCAGCTAGGGATGGGCAATAAATGCTGGCCCCGCTGGCGATGCCTGCATCCCATGAATGAATTTTTAAAAAGTTACCTTCCATCCCAGTTAATTAGTGGGACTTCCTCTGCAATTGCTCATTCTTCAGTGATAATACCATACCACATAAATCAAGAAACTTGAGACTGTAAGTTTATTTGTGCCTTTGTTAATGTTTTACTGCCCACGTGACACTTCTAATGCTTTTTACTGCCTTAAAATTTATTGTAGAATTACACCCTGTCATGAATTGAAGTCCGCTGCTGATATCTTGAGGGATATCACCTGCTCCATTAAAAAGTCTGACTTTCGTGGGGTTTGAACCCTCTGCCACACCAACCCCCCAATATCTACTTGTGTGGTGATCTGCCCAGGAGTGCAGTAATGGAACTCCATTTTGCTTGTGAATGAATCTTCATGTTGTATGCGCGTCTACTCCTTCCGTCCTTCCTACAACTGACGTGAGCGGAGAACTGCTCTGGTTTGTAAAATATGCAAAGTAAAGAGTTAGGGGAGATAAGCGAGACAGCAAAAGAAGCAATACAATCACTGAAAACAGTTGAACAAATTTTATGAAGAAGGGTCTAGGCCCGAAACGTCAGCCTTCCTGCTCCTCTGATGCTGCTTGGCCTGCTGTGTTCATCCAGCTCTACACCTTGTCATCTCAGATTCTCCAGCATCTGCAGTTCCTACTATCTCTGAATAAATTGTCTTGCTGAGTTAATGAGACCAACCAGGCTGCATCCTGTCATGTTGCCTTGGATAGATGAGCAGCCTGCTGTTGCTTGGTGGACTGTTATTGTCATTTGAGTTCCCATTTTTAAAAGCTTTTCTCACAGGACAGCCTAGATCGAAAGGGTTTGTCAACAACAAAGTATTTCTCTGAATAATCAGACATGGCTAAAGAATTGCCTGTTGACTGGTCTCGGTGAAATGGCTTACCACCTTGCGTATTGAATACAGTTTTTCTGCCAGTGGCTACACATTGATGACTTGGGAATGTGATCCCCTTTAGGGTACTTTTTGCTTCAATAAGACTCATATCCAAGTCCTTACCGTGGAAAAATGGCAAAAGATTCTGACGCACCCTTTTCTGAGCAGTAGAACAATATTTCATTTATAATTAGTCAAAATGTATTGAAATAACCTTTTACTGGTATATCATTGTTTCTCTCTTACTCTTGTTCGAATCTGTGGACTTTGTTCGATGGGAATTGTTATTTCTAGGGCTGGAGTTCATACCTGTTTGTTGTCTATTAGACAAGAGCTATTATGAGATTCCTTCCAATGATCAGCAATACCTCCTGGTTAGAAACATTCTGTTCCAGCTGGTGGCTTTAAGACAAATTTGAAGTTTTGCAGAATTCTCCAGGGGCAATGACTGGAATAAGTATTGTAATAATAATGTTGTTTATTGTTGTTGGTCACTTCCTTCTCATGGCAGGTACACATCATTTTATTTATTTTTGCTTTTATTCAGAACAATAGAGCCTGAGGCCTTGAAACAGGGGAACATGAGCTCTCTGGGCTTCACCAGCAAGGAGCAACGAAACCTTGGCCTACTGGTGCACCTCATGACCACTAATCCCAAGATCCTTTACTCACCTGTTGGCACAGAAGTGGACAAAGTAATAGAAAAGGTAAGACACCAGCAAAGCTATTGACTCTAAGGAAGCCTGGAATCTCATATCTTTCACCTATTCTAACTCCTCTCAGTTGGCAGAAGGAGCAGTTCAAAGCTGTGTTCTTAGTTATAACATGCACTGTGATTAGGAGCACGATTCAACAAGTACTTATGTTTTGAAGCACCACAGAACTGGACAGCAGAGAACAAGGCCATTCAACCCATTCTGTCCGTGCTGGCTCTTTGAGAGAGCCATTCAGTTAGTCCCACACACCTGCTTTTCCCCCATAGCTGTGTGATATTTTGCCTTGCAAGTATTTATCTAATTTCCTTTTCTATTGAATCTGTTTTCACACCTCTTTTAGGCAGTGCATTCCAGTTCGTGACACTCATCAGATAGAAATAGTTCTCCCCTCTGGTTCTTCTGCCAGATATCTTAAACCTGGTTTATGATCTTCCTACTGTCCTTACTAATATAATTCCTTGGCTTGACTGTTTGGGTGATGGAGCTTTGGACTGAGCGATAAGACGTAAACTGTAGACATTGCAGAATCTAAATGGATGACAGCATATGTAAAAGTCCAACTGTTCTATTTTGCTCAGATTTATAATGTTAATCATATTTTAAATTGGCCCTGTGGTAATTCCCAATTCTGTCTAACTGCATTGACATTATTGACTGGAAGGAGCTTTTTACCAATCCATCAAAATGGTTGCAACTTGCCCATTGAGCTACATCAGTCATTGAGCCTAAACGCCTTAATGATGAGACCGAGTGGTGACAGAGAGGGAAAGAAAAGGAAGCAAATCGCACCCTCAGGACCCCACTGCCTGACCAGGGGTCTGTGTGCCTAAAGATCCACAGGTTGTGAACCGACCTATTCCGTCACATGAGGAGCCACGTGTAACGCTGATTCAGCATCACTCTTAAAGCAAGCTGACAGTAACTGCAGCTTTTTGTAGCACTTTTAAAATCTATTTTGCAAATGCTGCTGCTTTGCTTTCGATTAGTAATTTCATGGCAGATATGTGACCACATCTGGGAAATCTACCAATGATTTTGATATTTAAGCACCACCAGGTCATTGACTAAAATACCCATTCAGCACTCAGTACATCGCTGTTGTTAATAGCTGCTTATCGCTAATGCATCCAAGCACATGGTAAGTGGAATCTGTCGATTTCGGAGGATTACTCTTACAAGTGCTGACACCACTTTGCAATGATAATGGTGTTACAGACATGCTCGCCGAGCTAGTGTGTTTGATTGTAGACGTTTCGTCACCCTGCTAGATAATATCATCAGTGCACCTCCGGTGAAGCGTTAGTGTTCTGTCCCGTTGTTACTTATATGCTATTTATATTTACAAACCAAGGCATATAAATAACAAGCGGGACAGAACACCAACGCTTCACTGGAGGCGCACTGACGATGTTACCTAGCTGTGTAATGTCATGGCAGGTACACATCATTTTATGTCTGCAAGTAAACATACTGGCTTGGCAAGCAAGTCTACAACCTCATCCACAATCCGAGCTACAAATCTTCTCAAAAGCTTTAATGATAATGGTTGCAATGATCAGAAAGCTCCTTTGTAGAAACACAGATTCCCTATAATGTGGGGGCAGGCCATTCGGTCTCAAATCCACACCAGTCCTCCAAAGAGCATTCGATCCCTGTAATCCCTGCATTTCCATGGCCAATCTACCTAACCTGCACATTTTTGGACTGTAGGAAGAAACCAGAGCACCTAGAGCAAACCCACACAGACGGGGAGAATGTGCAAACTCCACACAGATAATTGCCCGAGGCAAGAATTGAACCAAGATCCCTGGTGCTGTGAGGCAGCAGTGCTAACCATTGAGCCACCATGCCACCGTACTGAGGAATGAAAAATGGAGAATGTGCATGTTTGGTGCTAAAGTGTCTGGTGCTGAAATTTCAACGGATCTGGACATTTTAATAGCCTCACCACTCAAAGTCCACGGTTAGAGGCAAATATGTTAGAACCAATTAAGAAGTAATTGGAACATACAAAAAGGCATTGGCTTTAGAAGCTGGAAGATTGAGCTAAGATTAACATGCGTTTATGCCTGATTCCAGAGATAGGATGTAATCTAACCTGACACTCCAGGTCACACTGCCAGAGGTGCAGTCATTTGGATGGGATGTTAAAAACCGGTCCATCTCACGTGCTTAAAAGATCACATGGCATTATTTCAAATAGGGCAGAGACAAAGTACACTTTTCACTGCACTCCTGTACTTCTGTACTTGAGTACATGTAACAATAAAGCTTAAATCAAATCAAATCAAATCAAAGATGTTCTGTTTGGGGGTCTGGTCAACATGTATTGCTCAATCAACTGTACTTATAAACAAAACAAGGTATCCTGGCAGTTATCTGATTACCGCTGTGTCACTTTGTTCTCTATGAAATGACTGCTGTATTTCATACATTTTAACAATGACTGAACTTTCAAACTACTTTATTATCTATAAAGTGCTTTGAGACATCCCGAGGTCAAGAAAGGTACTATATAAATACAAGCTCAGTCTTCCTTTAAGATGAGCTGACTTTTTCAAGGGAAAGATAGGTAAATTTTTGAACAGTAGTGGAATTAAGAGTTATGGTGAGTGGGGGGGTAGGTGGAGCTGAGTCCACAAAAAGATAAGCCATGATCTTTTTGAATGGCGGAGCAGGCTCGAGGGGCCGGATGGCCTACTCCTGCTCCAATTTCTTATGTTCTTATTTACTGAATAACCTCTGTAGTTGTGTGCTGTTAGATGCAAATATTTAAGGGACGTTAACAGCAGACTAGCTAAACCAGACCACTTCAGATTTCTTTGGACTTGGTGCCTGACACTGTTCCACTCTTGAAAGACAGGAGAAGCTCTTGTTAAACTGGGGATAGATACCGAGTAACCTGCAATGCTGAACAGATTCTTCCTGCAAATGGGGTACCTTGATGTAGCAATGCTTTGCTTAGAGCTGGAGTGAGTAGTGAAGTTAATGCAAAGGTTGCTTTAAGTTGCAGATAAACTAATTTGGGCAGAGAATTATTCTCCATAACTAAACAAAGGCTGCTGAGCATGAGCTGCTAATCATTGATGGTGACAGATGGGATGTTGACTTAGAGGTTGAGTGTTGGAGATTTGAACATGTGGTGCAGGCAAAATGAGTTACATGTACCATTGCAATACAAAATGAAAATCAATATCACACAAGCTACTGGTTGTTCTGTTCATTTTGTAATTATTGAACAGTAATAAACTTACTATTTCTCTTGATTTTACCAAGAAAGTATTGCATTGTGCTTCAGAAATGAAAAGCAAAACACAAGGCAATCTTTATTAAAATAACCTTTATTTTATGTAAAGAGCCTGAAATGGATTTAATTTTTGAATTTGAAAAAGATTTATTTGGATAGGTGTGCATTGTGCAGTGCAAAGAGAACTGTTATTTCAGTTCGAAGATCGTTTTTCAAATCTCACCCAGGCTGACAAGGGGAAGGTATCCCTGTTTGATAATATGTTGAATGTTAGCCTGCAGAAGAAAGTGTTAGAACACAGGGGGAAATGGCCACACTTACTTTGTGTATGTGTGCTCGCTGGTCTGAGGCCCAGACAATAAAATAAGACTTTTCTGAAGAAGGGTGTAGGCTCGAAACGTCAGCTTTCCTGCTCCTCTGCTGCTTGGCCTGCTGTGTTCATCCAGCTCTACACCTTTGTTATCTCAATAAAATAAGACTGACAGGATGTCGTATGTCCCAGGATCCACTGACCATCTAGATGCACTTATGCTGCCTGTGCATAATGAATTGATTGACTTTTTTTTGTATTTAATAATCTGCATCTTTTCGCCCAGTGTCAATCTTTGCTTTTTAACTAATGCTTTGAAAATATAACTCGATTTGCATGCAATTGTACTCCAGTCCCTTAATCTGACCCTGTCAGTGAGTTTAGGACGGCTGTGTCCTGAAAACCTCTTCACACTTAAGTCGAATTTTGTCCACATGTTGTCCAAAAGCATCAGTGTACACTGATCATGAATGGGAAATGTTGACCGATTGTTCTTCCTAATGAGGAAGTACTGAGGCTGCAATACCTTTATGGCTCTGACAAAGGCCATCTATCAGATTAGACTGGAGATCGATCCTGCCCCTCATTCTGTGTGACAAAGCTGTTTTCGTATTAAACTCACAGCAATCAAGAGTGTTACTGAATTATTCTGAGGCAGAAGTGTATTAATAACTGAATAATGTTCTGCTCAGCTGTTTCTTGATTTTGGCAAAAGCATATAAATTTTATTCTGTTTTTTTTGGTTAAAACCTTGCACTTTAACAGGAACTGTTCTCAGTTGTCAATGATATAATTAACACAAGTATCAAACAGGAAATTTCAAATCCGGCAATGGTAAAGAGATAAGGTATGCTGTCCCATAGGAAAGAGAATAGAGTCAGAGAGTTATAGAGATGTGTAGCAATGGAAATAGATCCTTCGGTCCAACTTGTCCACACCAACCAGATATCCTGCATTAACATAGTCCCTTTGCCAGCATTTGGTTCATATCCCCCTAAACCCTTCCTAATCATGTACCTGTCCAGATGCCTTTTAAATGTTGTAATTGTACCAGCCTCCACCACTTAATCTGGCAGCTCATTCCTTACATGCACCACCATCTGCTGAAAAAGTTGCCCCTTAGGTCCCTTTTAATTCTTTCCCTCTCACCTTAAACCTATGCTGTCTAGTTTTGGACTCCCCTACTCTCAGGATAAGACCTTGACTATTCACTCTATCCATGCCCCTTATGATTTTTTAAACTTTTATGAGGTCACCCCTCCGCCTCCGATGCTCTGGGGAAAATAGCCCCAGCCTATTGAGCCTCTCCCTGTAGCTCAAGCTGTCCAATCCTGGCAACAACCTTGTAAATCTTTTCTGAACCCTTTCAAGTTTCACAACATCCTTCCTACAGCAGGGAGACCAGAATTGAACGCAGTATTGCAAAAGTGGACT